GGGCCTGAGGTAGGCCCCATTGGAAGTTTTTTTGTCCACTAGGGGGTAGTCTTTTATAATTGTTTTTCTGAGAAGAATTGATGAGTTTTCCCTCCTTGTCAAAGATTGACCTACACTCTGATGCCCAATGGTACCCTTTCCGGCACTTAGGGCATAGGGCTGATGGTCGAGACCCAGAACTGGGTTTGTTAGGGCAATCTCTCTTCAGATGTCCAGGCTGCTTACAACCAAAACATGTGAGCTCTTTCTTGTTGCGTGAATTGGCATAAAATGTATCTAAACTCATCCCTTGAGCGGCAGCGGCCATAGCCATCCCTTGTGCCCATCCCTGAGTATATCCTGGTCCTATATCTGCACATAGCCTAATGTATCCTGAGAGATCTGTTTTTCTTTTATAGGGTCGGATGGCAGCCTGACAATGTTTATTAGCATTTTCAAAAGCTAGCTGCTGAACGAATGGCAGGCCATTATCTACATTACCAAAAATTCTCCCTGCAGCAGTAACTAATCGATGTACAAAATCTGAAAATGGCTCATCAGGTCCTTGCCTTATGTTAGAAAGGCTAGAGCTAAGGTCCCCTTTGGAGGGAAGGGCAGTCCAAGCATTGTGGGCTGCCAAGGCTATCTGAGCATAAACAGGAGGATCATAATTAATTTGATGAATAACATCCTCATAAGCCCCTTCACCAGCTAACATTTCAAAATTGATTTGACCCATATTAGCGTGAGCATTATGGTGAGCAATTTCCTTACAATTATCAAAAAAATTGGATTTCCATAAAAGAAAATCACCTCCACTTAAGGCCGCTTTATAGACCATCTTCCAACCATTGGGAGTCAAAAAGGACAGTTGTAGTGACTCAACAATGGCCAAAGTGAATGGTGCATTTGTCCCATCCTGAGCTGCAGCTGTTTTTAATTCTTTGACCATCTTGAAATCAATGGGTTTGTGCCCTCTTACCCTGTTACCTCGGCCATCTAATTCCTCAATAACTGGAAAAGCATAAGAGCTGAAGTTGCCTAAGTCCTCTCCTTCCTTTTTGGCCTCTCTCAGTGCTATCTGGAGGGGAGTGAACTGATGGAGTCTTTCTTCCCCGTCTGATATAACCTTTTTATCTATCTTTATTGCCTCTAATTTTCTAAGGAGCGTTTGTTTTTCCTCTGCTAATTGAACTCTTTTCCTTAATTCTCCTACCTCTGAGATCATATCTGAGTTGAAGTCTTTTATTTCTCTTATATTCCCTATATCAGGTTCGATGGGAGCAGTGGGAGGAGGACGAGCAGTTAATAAGGCTCCCACAAAATCATTATTATCTTTATTTTCTCCCTCAGAGTCTGAGGAGTTTCTTGAATTTTAGTTAGATCAGAATACAATTTTGACTCTTTCTCCTCATATTCTGAATTATGTGATTTAACTTCTCTTAATTCCTCTAAGGTTTCTTTGGCCTCTTTGAGGTGTTTATCTAAGCCTTGTACATCCCTTTTTTGTAAGCACTCATTTATTAAAGACCAGAAAGAAAGCGTAATGGCTGGTACACTGTCAGAATTATGACTCCTTAATTTTTCATTTAATTCTCCTACTCTATCCCAGACATCATCAGTTATTTCCTCTACATCACTGAACCAAGGACAAGTTTCATCCACACAATCAAGAAATTGAAACAATGACTTTTTCTTTGCCTTAATTCCTTTCTCACTGAGTAAAGACTGAATTGCTATGCTGAGTTTCATCTTAGATCCTATGTGCCCCATTGGTACCTGCTTCTCCGAGGATTTTCCCCACCGGGTGTTCCAGACAGCAGTGTTCTCCTTGTTTCGACTCGGCCGAATCCTTTTTGACAGCAGGCTTCACGGATTGCTTACCGATCGCCACTTCAATTTCAGGCCCCACATTGGGCACCACTTGTCGCCAGCCGGCGACGCAGAGCACTGTCCAGCAGTGCCTCAAACCTGAAAGAGCAGCAGGGTGGAGATGGGGCAGAGAGAAAGGAAGGATGCCAAGACAAGAGTCTGATCAAGGCGACGTTTATTGCCGGCAAGCGTCGGCCTTTTAAAGCAAAAAAAAAAAAAAACAAACAACAAACTATTATGGGATGGGGTTACCATAGTAACTGAAAGGTCACACAGGAAAAGAGCAAACAGGCTCAACAAAAGCAACCCACCATGGGTAGTAGTAACCCGGACAACCACACATCTAAAGGTCAGAGACAAGAAACTGTAACTTTCAGGAATTCCACAAAGGAAACACACCACCTGCTAAACTGGAGAAACTTAACACATATGGAGTTACTAAAGTTAACAGTACTTACAACCAATACTCATGATCCCCACATCCTGGGTTGGATTTTCCCAAGCCTTAGAATCAAAGAATCAGGCACTTTGTATAAATGTGTATTAGCTCTTCGTATCCTGTGCTTGTGTATTAAATAAAGTTTTTATTAATTTGATTGATATATTATGTTCCCTGGGGTATGAAAGGTACATTCTAAATTCTGACCAACTGTTTCTAACTTTACTATTTGAAACTCAGAAGCCTTGCAATGATTTTTTTTCACTCTCTAGAAGTAGAAAGCATGGGATAAGACTAGCTATATCATTGCTGAAAAAGTCAGTTGAGAAGGAATCAAGCTTAAAATTTCAAGATTTTATATGCTAGGGTTAAGACATGGCCAGTGCCCCAACGCAAGGTCGTATAATAAATGCTTACAACATCTTTGAAACTGAAGGAGAAGGCAGGGAATCGGGGAGGCGGTGCCTGAGGCCAGAAGTTCTTCTTCCTCGATTATGCATTTCTCGCCTTTGAAGCCCACCCACTGCCTTGTCCACAGCGGGCATTGTTAAACACTTTGTCCATACAGTGAGTGCGGTGGATTGTTGGAGAGGATGGAGCGGGGTGGTGTGAGCGCCTGGCGGAACACATTGGCACAGGAGCGCCCCAGACCCTCGGCCCTGATGCTGAGCCTGAGAAGCCCCGACTGCGGGTCTTGCCCACATTTGGCCCCATTCGCCCCTCAGAGAACCGTGCTTCCCTGTCTGGTGCGCCCAGGAAATTGGTCTGTGAAGCCGGCTGGGCCACAGGTCCACCCTTGGCTGCAGATCGTCACCGTCACTGTCCTGCACGTGGGCCTTACACTTTGCAGTCGGCTCCTCCTGCCTCTCCTAAAGCTCATTCTTCTTGCTTTGGTTTTCACCTGAAGATGATTTGCAGCTTCACCGTTCTTCAAGTTCTTCTTTTACTTAAAATAAATACCCTTTTACAAATTAATGTTGGGAGAGAAAAGTGAGACCATTAAGAAGCAATAATAATTGCTTTTTTTTTTTTTGCTAGTATTAAAACCCACAAAAGGTGACATTTGATTTGATTTTCTTCCTTTTTTATTTTAAGTGGGAAGTAGTATAAAGAATATTTTTTAAGAAAATAATGGAGCTGAGAATTAAACTCTTGTTAATCAGTCACTTTTATTTCGGTTGTCTTAAGGATAATTTAACTCTGCCAAAGCCTGCTGGTTACTACAAGTCACTGGGAATACATTGATTTTTGTTTGTTTGTTTTCACCTCAAGTTTTCTAATAAGCTAAGCAAAGCAGTTGAGTCCATTGGCAGCTGCACTGTGCACTTGGCAGGGGCACCTGCCTGCGCTCAGTCCCAAGATGTGCCGGCTCAGGACGGAGCACACCGCTGCCTCCAGTGCCCCTCCTGGGAAGCAAGGATGAGCTTGTGGGCCATTTCCCTCTTTGAGCCCAGGGCCTCTGTGAGGTTCTGCACTGCTGTGATTTGATTCTCCATGGGAATCTCTATCAATCCTGCTGGATTTCACCATGGGAGGCAGCTAAGGATAAGGAGACTTGAACATCCAGACAGAAGAGGACCCTTTTGTTGAAAATCTGTGGGGTGGAAAGACCATCCACTTCTCCAAAGGGATCTGCACTAGACAGTGTTCGTCCCCTGGAGCCTCTGTGTGACCTGGTTGGAGAGGAAGTTTCAGGGACAGCATCTTTGCTATTGAGCCCCACCACCACCACAGTCCAATGCGGCCAGGGATGAACTCTTTACTCAAGCACCCAGGAAAGCCAGACTCCTGCGAGGCCAAGAGCTTGCTGCTCCCACCAGTCTGATGACCAGCAAGAGGGAGGAGGAGGAGGAGGAGGCAAGCAGGGAAGGTTTCCTGGCCACTTTTAGAAAAAAGAGACACAATCAGAAGAGAGAAGAAATAGACAGATGTCCCTAGCGAGAGTGTCAAAAGTAGGAGCCGGACACTGAAATGAAGTGATGCCCAGAGCCCCACTCAGAGAGCCCCTGTCCCCCCTCCAGGGGTCAGCAGTGCACAGACATGGCTATGTGGGATGGAGGATGGGCCAAACCAGTCTTCTGAGGAGCACTTGTGTCCTAGGCTCCCATCTCCTCCCAGGCTGCACAGTTTACTAGTTGAATAGTTTGCTAGTTTACTGGTTGAGAACTTGGGTTTTGGCCAGACCACCCAAGTTGGGACTCCAGCTGTTCCTTTATAGTGTTAGGACCTTTCCCATGTTACCAACCCTCTCTTCGTCCCATCTCCTCATCTGTCCAGTGATGATGACAGTTCTGGTGACCATGGTATGGAGCTCTTTTCACGGTGGGGAGAGACTGCAGAATGCCGGCACCATACCTGACATAAGGGCATACTCAGTGTCTATAAAATTTCCTTTCAGAACTGGAACCTAATCTTACTCAAAAGAAAACTTGATACTGTTGTCCAACTCTGAAAAGAACAAAGTGAATAAAGTTGCTATGCTTGTAATTTTAGACATTAACCTACTTTAAGAACATCGGTGTCATAGTGCTTAGCCGAGCTGTTTTCATTTCATTTGAAAGTCTTGCATTTTGAGTCATGATAAATATAAAATACTTCTTATCAGCCTATTCCAAACAAACGTTCTTGCTGTGACAACAGATTATCTGTGACTTGGGAAGCCATGCCTTTAATCAGTTCTCTTCCCTCCTCCCTTCACCAACCCGGGAAGAACTCCCTGACCAGGAGTGCACCCCTTCCCAATGACTCCCAGGCACGCAGCGGGGCTCGTTTCCACACGTCCTACGACAAGAGGTACGTCATCAAGACCATCACCAGTGAGGACGTGGCTGAAATGCACAACATCCTGAAGAAGTACCACCAGGTAATTTTTCGTTATCTTTATTTGCGTGTCTGAGGTTCACATTCATGGCTCATTGTCATCAAGGCCAGCGGTCTAAATGCGTACGTAGTTAGGAAATGGCAGGAACACACAGTTTGACATAAAATTCTCCTCTAGCCCATGCTCAGAAGCGGCTGTGGCCAGGATACTGAGTTGCCTTTAGAAATGCAGTACTTATGCTGCAAAGGACATTGTTAATAGTTCTTTTCACCTAAGAACACTTCAGCATGATGGTTTCAGTGATCTCCACTCTCCCCAGCAGCTTGCTGAAGGTTCTGCCTGTACCAGAAGTGGGGTGGTGGCCTCTGAATCTTTAGGCTTGGTTACCCTCAAATCCCACCCTGCTTCCCCTGGCCCCAGAAAAGCCCAGTCTCAGCCAGAAAACTGTCTGACTCCAGAAGGTGTGTCGCTCTGCTTCTTGTATCTTTTCATCCCTAACCATGATTCCTGTGGAGTGGCCTGCCCGCTGGAGCAGCTCTCTGGCGGGATAAATCCAGCATAGGTTTGCATGGCAGATCGCACGCTCACAGGTCCCAGCCCAGTCTGAAAGAGGCTTCAGTCGCTGTGGAAAAGGAAGAGCACGCAGTGCAGAAGCAGATAGTCTTTGGTTCACATCTGAGCCCTGGCCCTTAGAAGCCACGTGACTTCTGGTCTTCAAGACTGCCTTTCCTTCATTTATATAACAAGGGTGTGAACACCTAGCTGTGGAGACCTGAAAATCAAACGGGAATGTGTTTGTCAAGCACTCAGCACAATTTCTGTCACACACCGGGAGCTAAACACCTGGTGGAGGTAGAAGCATCATTATCATCAAGAAAACATCTGTCAGGTGACAGGCAGAATAACAGTAAGTCATCTAGAGAAAGTGCAGTCTTAGGACACGCTTATAACTGTTGCTGCAACATGGCAGGATCATCCTCAGAACTGTTGCTTTTAGAGTCCTAGTCTGCTTGAGCTGTATAACAACATAGACTATGTTGCTTAGACAGCAAAAATTTACTTCTTATGTTTCTGGATGCTGAAAATTTGAGAATGAGGTGCAGCACGGCTGGGCTCTGGTGCGGCTCCCTCCCAGGCTTGCAGATGGCTGCCTTCTTGCTGGGCCCTCATTCGGCGGGAGAGAGAAAGCAAAAGCTCTCACTACCTCCTGTAAGGGCACTAATCTCATCACAAGGCCTCCATCCTCAGGACCTGTGTACCTCCCAAAGGCGATTAGGGTTTTAACATGATGACATTTGAGAGACATAGATATTCAGTCCGTATCAGAGTTGCCTAAGTAAGCTCCAGATTCCCCTTAAAAGCAAAGATCGACTATCACAGAAGTATGCAAAATAAAAAGTTTTGATCACATTAATGAGCGGATTCCCAGCAGATTTTAAACAGCCACATTTATTTGTTAAGTATCAGCCTGAGTGTTCAGCTTTGAAGGCAGTACTCCTTTGGAACTGTTAGCTCAGACTTTTGTTTGAATGCCTTACTTGCAGCTATGCTTTGTGCTGTAATATCAGCAATTATTTCTTAGCAGGTGCTGTTCTTCCTGTCTTCACAAACATGATCAATTAGTTGCATTTTGCTGGCACCGAAGTCTCTCACTTGTTCCCTAAAAGTATTAGTCAGGTTCCATATTCATTTAACATCTAATCAGTCCTTTCTAGCATCTACTGCTTTTGAAATTTGTTTTCCCATGCAAATGCTATTATCGCCTGTTCAAAGGAAGCTTTGACGTGCTCAGTTCCTGTGAGTGCAGAGACAGCAGGGCATTGGCTTCTGAATGAATTGAATTGTGAGTTAAAGCTTTTGACTTTTTTTTTGGTACTGGGGATCGAACTCAGGTCCTTGTGAACCACTGAGCTAAACCCCCAGCCCACAGCTTTTGACTCTTCACCTTTTTGGTTTTCATTTTCATGCTTTCCCTTATGGAATCTGATGCCATACTCATGCATCCTTTTGTGCTTCCGTTCAGTTGTTTGAGAATTTTCAGAGCAAAGCGATGTCTTGTGACCCATGAGAACGTATTACTGCGATAAATGGCTATGATCCCATTCTAGTAAAACCTGACATGCAATTCAGGTGTCTCGTTCTGGACGACTTTGAGTACATAATCCTTTGACTTTATAGAATTCAAAGATCAAAGTATTTCCTCGGGGGCAGTCACTGTGACCTAAGATCCTGACTGGACCTGTCCCCAACATGGCAGGCAATACATTGGAGATCAGAATTTTCTATTAAAACACTGCGGGAGCTTTAAAATGCCAAACAGTTCCTTTTTACAAAACTTTTTTTTGTTGTTATATACTGTACTCAGATAATTCCCATTTAGCCAACATCGTACTTTTCTTCCAAGAAACAGTATTTTAAGAGTTATAATTTAAAATGAGTTGATGATTATCACAATGATTAATTAACGCAGTTTACTTAAAGGACACTACATTGCAATCAGGAGACAGAGACCCTAGCTCAGTGATGGTGAACCTTTCCAAGCTTTCAGTGATTATAAACAGCCCGCTGGGGCACGTGTACCATAGGTTCGCCACCACTGCCCTAGCTTATGAGCAACCCCTGAACTCAGTTTACCCATCTGTATTGTGCTCACTCATTTATCCAAGTCTTTACTCTTGTCCTTGTTCTAGAAAGGATTTAAAGTAGCCTTCAGGGAAATTTGAAATAGATAAATACAAAATTTTTAAAAAGGAAGATGGAAAAGGTGGGGACAGTGTAAAGGCACAAACTGGAGCCTGACAGGACTGTAAAACTTCGTGATGAATCTTAGCTTGATTGCTGCTGTGAGGCCTGCTGATTTAACCTGGCCTCCTGACAGGACAACATGAAGTCAGCTGCACAGCTGCTATGCGTGAAGATGCATCAAGCCTGAAGAAAAAACTAGAACCGTTCTTGATGCAAGATCTGACAGAGTTGTCTTTAAGAAGTTCCCCACAAAGAGGACACAGGACATTCAATCTTACATGCAGCATCTTTACAACAAGCTGTGGAACACAGAAGAATGTCATACAACTTTTTAAAAATAATCACCAGTAAACCTGGCTGTAGTGGTGCATGCTATAATACCAGCACTCTGGGAGGCTGAGGTAGGAGGATCCCAACTTCAAGCTCAGCCTGGGAAATGTATTCAGACTCTGCCTCCAAAAAATATTTAAGAAAGGTGGGGTGGGGCTGAAGCTCAGTGCAGAGGTCCTCAGTTGAATCCTCGGGACAAAATAAATCATCAGCACAGGCTGCTGGAACCACGCTGACTCATGACTTGCATTTAGGGGACTCGGTTTTGCTGAGGGAGGAGACCATGCATGCATGCTGGCCACCTGGGTCCCTGCCAGCCTGCCCTCTGCTGAGCGTTCCCGGCTGCCCTTCCTGTGCCCCTCCTCCAGTCAGGGTGTTAGTGAATGGCACACGGAAAATGAAGCCTTTGTGCCTCATGTGATCCTCTACACCCAGACCCAGGTCTCCATCTGCTGTCCTGGGATCCCCCTCCCTGCTAGGCTCTGTCATTTTCTTACTCTGTGATATGGAGTAGCATTTGAGGGACAGCTATTAGGCCTTCACTCCTATTTAAAGTAGATCTAGCCTACTTTCGGGTTCGTGTTTGGACTTGCAAATTTTCTGTCTCTTGCTTCAGTGGTGATTATCAGTTCTCCTATTTCTTCTTGCTTTTTGTTGCTCTTACTTTCTAAATAGCTATGTTTCTGAGCTGCCCAGGTCTGGAGGAGTAATTAAGCCTGTTCAAATTGCATGTGGATAGGAGATCGGCTCTCCTGCAGAGCAGATGGACTTTCTGACAGCTCTAGGTACTCCATAACCCTCTTCTCCCTTGTTGTTTCCCTTTGTTGTCTTTTGTTGTAATGAACATTCATTCACAGTTACAGCTACATTCTGGAGGGTTAAAATAACCCCGAGGCCAACCTCTGCAGACACTGCTTGCTATTTGAATACATTCTGACTGGGGTCAGTTGTCTGACAAACTACCCTGACCAGCGGTGTGGTGTTGCAGGTAGGTTCAGAGCAGGGGTTCAGAGCCAACAAGCTGTCTTCACATCTCGGCCCTGCCCTTGGCCTTGGGCAAGTTACCTAGCCGCTGGACATTTGCTTCTTGATGTAATGTTTGGGTAGGAGTCCTTTCAGCTGTGGTGCTAATTAGGTGGATTCATATCGATAACATGCTCAGAGTGGTATCTGGTATCACATGCTGTCTAAGTGATTGAATAAGATACATACTATCTTCAACTCTCTATGGCCCATCTTTGGAATCATCCCAGTGTGGTACTCAGTCATTAACTCTCTTGGTCCGCCAGGCGGCCGGGTTTCTGGTAGAGTGTGATACCCAGGGAGGAGTGAGGGACTTTTCCCTGGTCACGGTGTGTTGCTGTACCCTTTTGTGCCCTAACCCCACCCGACTCCACTGTGTGCAGAGGAAGGAAGGTGTCCTTAACCAGACCAGTGGAAAATTCACAGTAAGCATTACAAATCTGTAAGTGTCTTTTCCTTCATTTGATTTTTCTCTTTCTCATAGGTAGGAAAACAACTCAATGTTTTGGCATATCCAGCATCCGTTTCTTCACATCTGTTAGGCTACAACACTCTCTGGTCTTATAAATATCAGCTGATTAGCTAAACAATGTCGGAAGACATTCAAAACAGAAGGACATGGTTAAGAATCTTATTTCTGAGTTGCCTGTTTTTGTTGTTTGGTTTGATTTCTTTCATTGGCTTCAATTCATGGAGTTATCACATAGCTTGATCTTTAATTAAAATTAAAAGGCAAATGTTCCACAGTCTTTCAGCTAAGATTAAGTGTAAAATTAAAGCAGTGTTAGTAAAATTTAAGAAGTTGTGCAAAATTTGCAGTATAACTTTAGGGAAGTTACGGCGTAAGTGGTTAAGAAACAACTTACAGAAATATCAAGAATATCTTTTTTAAGCCTTTGAAATACAGGGTTTGAATTATTTTGTTTTTTATTTCAAGTAACTGG